GCTCATATTATCCGTCTCTTTGATTCGTCATCTATTTTCCTGCTGCGACCCGCCTCCAGGGAGGTTGGCTACTGTTCTTAAATCTCTCTAATATTGTCCTTTAGTTACTTTGACCAGTGTTGTTATTGGCAGCCATCTTGGATTTAGTCTTAGTTTTAGTCTTCAGGACAAAAACTATTATTAGTTTTAGTCACATTTTAGTCAATAATATAAGTGATAGTTTTAGTCTGGTTAAGTCGACTAAAACTTAAAAAGATTTTAGTCTAGTTTTAGTCAGTTTTATGTTGCAATTCATAAAACAGAGAACCTTTATAATGTCTAATAACAACCAGATTCCTGTCCAGACTGACAGCTCTTGCCTAGATGCTACCATTCCCCGTTATAGAATGCTGTCATTCAGTTCATTGATGCTGTTAGGCAGAAAACTTTGATATATAGAATTACAATTAACTTCTTTATGAATTAATTAATGCTCTACTTTATAAAAAGGTGTCTCACAAAAGCTGTGAAAATAGAAGATCCAGTTCAACACATCATATTGGTTAAAATAGCTAACAATCAATACAAAATCAATACAAAAAAATGTAAAATAAACGAATGGTTTCAGACAAACAAGGTTTCCATCCAAAAGCAAACACTTCCTGGTTTACTATAAATTATGTGTTACACACAGATCAATCAATCTCATTACTCCAAAAATTAATCTGAGTCTTTATCCAAAAATAAATGGTATGCAATGATATTTTTGCTTTAGATATAATTTAGAGATTCCTTTCGGTAGAAGTTAAAGAAGGTTTAGCATCATCTCTTGTGAGCTGGAAGAAATAAATCCTTAATAGTTTGACAAAGGGACTTTTATGCTTGGCAGAGGATGATCAGCCACATAGTTTATTAGGTAGTGAGGGCAGGAAGAGCCATACTGCTGAGAGCGAACCATCAGAGTGGAGCATAAAGCGCAGACTCTGAGCTAAGCTGCGTAAAGACGCATTTCTGCACAAACACAGCTTGAAGAGCAGAGTGTGTCAGAGAGCAGCACGGCTCATACTTGTTTCTAACAGTTTACAGCACAGTGATGCTTTTTAAATGTCTGACAGACCATCCGCTATTTTTTTAGTTAGTCTCGTCAATGAAAACTCACCCATGACTCATCATGTTTGAGTCATCAAAGATTCATGTTTAGCTCGTCAGTTCTCGTTATCATTGTGGGAAAAAAGGAGCATCAACGAAATCATTTCATCATCGTTGACGAAAACAACACTGGGACTCAAACACATTAGTCACAGGAACATTAGGTTGCTATGAGACGGTCTAACAACTTTACCTTCAATATGTTTTTCTAAAATTTTTATTTCAAATCTTCTAAAACTACTCTTGCCTTTGCTTCCTCCAGTCCGGTCCAGGTTGAGTGTGGTACACACCAGGCCACCTAACAGCACAGTGACTACCTGTAGCTCAACATATAGTCCCAATGACTGATTACAAGAGTTTAGACACCTGGGATACTAATTAGTGGTCCCTTTGGTCACATTATTTTCAGTCTTTTCTAAACCAACCATAACTTTTGTCCAGGCCTGCTTCTACAGTTTATCTATTAAAGTCATTCTGGTAAATAGTGGTTAAAATGCAATGTTTGACATTCATTTGTTCATTTTCATTGAATTTTCATTACTTTTTCTCAAGTTCTGTCTGTGACCATTGTGGGTTTTTCTGTCATTAAACCAGGCGTACCAAGACTTTTGTCTATGAGTGCATCTACACCTTCAATTATTCCACATTAGTTCCGTACATTTACATCCTGATTAACCAGCTCATTGTGGTGGTTAAGGTTGAAATTACATGAATAAGTATTTAAGTAAAAGTTGGAAAAGTTTAGAGTACTTCTGTATCATTACTTTTTTTTTTTTTTTTACTTTCACAGCATCTGACAGGCTGTTTGCAGGTATGTTCCTGCTAAAGGCACTGTCACAACATAATGCAGCCACCGCTATCTGTCACAGATGGGAAATACACTTTAAATATTCTGCTACTCATAACAGTTTGAATTTAAACCATAAAATCCAACTTTTGTCTGATCAGAGATTTTATTTAAGCACCTTGTTTCAACTCATCACTGTTTAAAGACGGTGTTTGTTCACCAATGCTTTCCAACAAATCGCTCCAACCTTCTCAGAACAGCTGGATTAATATTAATGTTAAATGTTGAATTATAGATAAAGTGTATGGGCGACTCAAAACAACTAAGACGCTGATCGGCTGATTAGGGAAATCCTTGTTGACGCGCTAAAAAGTTCAGTCCAAGATGCAGTTCAGATCCTTTTGTTTTATTGATCTTCAAAACATGCAATGCAGCATACAAGAAAAAAACAAATCCACAGGTATGAGACGTGATCAAGCGTAAAATAGAACAAAAACATCCAAAGCTTAAAGTGGTCAGCAAAAACTCCCCTCACCCACTCACTGAAACTCACCAGGTGAGCAAAACAGGTGATCTTACAAATCACTGCTGACATCTCGTGATCCAAACTATGCCTATCCACCACAAAGTGATTTTTGAACGCAGATGTTTCACCACAGCAGCTACCATCCACTAATCTTTGGATGCATCCCTTCTATAGCACATCTGTTACCAAACTCTCTGCAGACCTGATTCAGCTCTCCTTCAGCAAGGATGCATCTAAAGGTTGATTTTTATTTGATTTTTTTGTATTCCAATAAATACAAGGAGATTTGTAGCTACGATGAGACACAAAGTAAACACTTTTGATAGTGATGCACCATTAGCATAGATTTCGTCTAGATTTTTGAATAACAACATCACTAAGTTTTATATCTGAAGAAGCAAATTAATGACAACTAAACCTTTTTTGACATCTTTATAATGGATGTCAAACTGTAACTTGATTCAATTTTAGAATTTAATAAAAAAAAAGGCTATAAAAACAAAAAAATATCACAATGAAATCAGTTTATCTAACTTTCTACATTTATACCTGAGCTTTATCTGATATTCTTTTTAGTTTTGTTTGGTCAATTGTTTATTCTTCAGTTTTCTGATTTTACTTTGACTTTACATGTCACTTGATTTTTAATACAATTTTTTTTTCTTACACAACTCTCATGGATATGAAAGTAAATTCTTTAATAAAGTTTGAATAAATGCTGCATAATCTTAGATTTTAAATGTGGGTCATGATCCCTTTATTAATGCATTACTAAAGCTCATCTATTTAATGGTGGATGAAACTGGTTCTCTTTCCACAGTCCTGTTAAGTTTTCTAATTAACTTTTTAAGTAAGAAGCTGAAACATCATGAGAACAAATCTTAAAATGATTCATGTCAAATAAATAAATGAAAATACAAACCTTTCTGCTTCCCAGAATCCTCTGCTGCTGCCTCCTTTCTGAAACACAGAAACCCCATCCCCGTTAGATTAGCTTTACATGCAGGTGTGCGTGTGCGTGTGCGTGTGTGTGTGTGTGTGTGTGTGTGTGTGTGTGTGTGTGCAGCCCTCCTACCCGCTCTGCTCCTGCTGGTATCTGTCTCCATAAGTGGAGTAGAGCAGGATGAGGAACTCAGCCAGCCCAGCATCACTCAGGCTGGTCCTCCTGCGGAGCTCGCTCCACACCTTATGCGACTCTCCGAGGTAAACCCTCCTAACGTCGTACTTCTTTCGGGATTCCAGCCTCCTCTGAGCTCGGTCTGAGTCCGTGAGCCTCGGTCGACCCCTGCACCGCCTCAGAACACCTCCGGTTCGGTCGGTCTCAGAAGGACAGCCTACCGGACAATGCGCCATCTTGGAATTAATGCCAACAGCTGATCCCGTGATTAGCTGGAGTTGTGTCAAACATCACAAAAAGCTTTTTACTTTGGTTTAAGTTTTTCTAGTTAAACTTCTCACAAAACAGAAGGAGTGAGAATTAATATGTGGAAGAGTTTATGTGAATATAAAGCAGCAATATTGAAATGTCCAATTATTTCGATGGAGGAAGTGCACTGGTTTCTACCCGGAGCATATTAGGTGACGGACCGGTGTCCCACCTCGTAAACATTCGCGGGAAACTTTTGAGTTTTATCTGTTTTCACAGCTACTATTAGTTTTTTTGGTGATGACTGACATCCTAACGTTGGTGTTCAGGACCTTTTCGTCACAGACGGGTCAAAACAAGGACCCCGGTGTTTGTCCTCCAGCAGCAGCAGCAGCAGCCCCCCGCTGCAGCAGCCTGGTAGTGGGGCAGCACCGCCTCAGCCGCTCCCTGCTGCTGCTGGCAGCCGTGACCGCAGCCTCGGAGCTCGGCATCAGAGTGACTTTCTTCGCGCAGAGCCAGATCCAGAGCCTCCCGGTGTGTCTGCAGCGATGCAGCACGACCCTGAGCCCAGATGGTCTAAAGGTAAACAACGGTAGACACTACTACCGTAAAACATGTAGCAGAATACCTGAAAAAAAAAACAACTCCCCTTTTATCCCTTTATTCTGTTAAAGGTCAGAAAATGCAAAGAAAATATCAGGACTGCAACTATAGATTCATTTTGTTTTAATCTGTTGATTATTTATTCGATTAATCGAATAAATAATAATCAGACAGGCAAAGATTCCCTTAAAGAATATTTATTTACAAAAAACAGGTGAAAATAAAACTTTTCCACTTGAGGAGTTCTGGCTAGACCATATTGACAGGCGAAAATGTTTTTTTTATGTTAAATGCTAAATGTTTGCTTTTTTTCTTTAGTTTTTTTTTCTTTACAATTTTGTTATGATTCCTGCTCTGAGTGGCTATGTCAGCAAAAAAACATGTTTTAAGGTTTCTACACTCCTGTAACAATTATTCGATTACTAAATTAGTTGACAATTATTTTAATAATCGATTAATCACGATTTATCCGATTAATTGTTTCAATCCCAGAAAAGATCGTTTTTTTATTAAGCACCCCTCAATCATACCCTTAAACCAAATTTAGTGGCTCTTAAAGTCTCTATTTAATAATCTGATCAAAGTTGTCTATAAATAAAACTCACTATTAGTAAGTTGTTGCATGTTGGTGCTCAAACTGCTTGGGTTTAAATGTTATAAGCTCTTATCAGACCTCAGTACTGTGGAAAACTTTAAGATTTCGATAAAACAGCGGCCCCTGGTGGTCACCTAGCCCAATTGCAACCTTTCAGGACAAGCATGTTTTTATCACATCAGCATTGAGCATTCAGAAATTAGATTTTTTTATTTATACTTACTGAATATATCATCATTCCTATTTATATATTTGAATTCAATATTAGATTGTTTATTGATATCAGATAGACTTTATATTCACCACCTATATTTTTGTTCATAGAAGTAATGAAGTTTACAGTGCAAAAGAAAAAAAAAGCTCAGACACTTACGCACAAACCTTAGATGCATCGCTGATTAAATCAACACAATGCTTTAGAACATCTCAAGCCATTTTAATAGAAAAATTGAAGCAATAAATGAGATTTAGAGCTCCAAATGCTGTCAGTCATGCAACTATTATTTAAACACCTGTGTTAACCTTTCCCTACATATAGAATTAAGCAAACTCTAAAACCTCTGTTTCATTTCCTTATACTACTAATGTAGGACCATTAGTTAGAGAAACACCTCAGTCACTCACTGCTCTGATCTGCAGCTGAGGTGGGAGATGTCACTCGTTGATGGACCAACCAATTGTTTATTGCCTTTATAGAAGAGTGGAAAGAACTGTTTAGATAATCTGTTAATGTCTTATTTTATTTCTTTTTTAGTTTGGCAGCAGCCAGAAGGGAAAGACAGAAAACATGTGAAGGAAAATTATCTGGTCGGAGGATCCTAAAATTGAACTTTGCTGCAATGCCATGCTTAGCAGAAAAACTCACCTTCCACAACATGAAGCTTGGTGGAGGCAGCGTCATGCTGTGGGGATGGTTTTCCTGAGAAGGCACTTTTAACCTTCTTTAGAGTTAAAGTGAGAATGAATGGAGCTAAATGGAGGGAAATCTCAGTGAAAATTTGGTAGAAGCTGTTATGAAGCATCTGTTCTTTGCATCCGTTTAGCTTCCTTCCTGCATGGCCTGCTGTTGGGAGAAAACACTGAAGTCTGTGTTTAATGGAACCAAATATGAAACATATTCATGTTTTTCATAGACTTTTGTCAGGTGCCGTATCTCCAGTACATAAGTTTAATTTATTTTTAGTTTTTTTTAACATAAAGAGCCTTCCTTTATATTTGATGTTTGTTTTAGGATTGCTGAAAATTAAGAAACTATTACTTGATTGGGAGTCTTAGTTGAAACTCCAGATGCAGATGTGCTGCAGTGTTAGTAGTTATAGTTTCCAGCTGTTTTCAGTCTTTCTACGTTTGTCATTTTGGTGTTTTTTTTTTTAGAAAATCACGTTTTCCTATCCGCGGACGCTGGAGGAGCTGCTCCAGCGGGTTGCCAGCCTCCATGAAGCCCCTCTACCTCCCTCGCTCATCATCATCGACAGACTGGACGGCTTCCTGCGGGACCCCGGCGCCTGCAGCCACGCTGGGTTCCACTCAGGAGAGCTGTCCTGCGCTGCTCATCTCGCTGCTCTGCTCTGTGACACAGCTGCTTTTCTCACAGAAGTCCTCCAGCAGAGGGGGCCCAGCTCCGCCCCCTGCCGGGTCATCGCCTCCTTCCTCTCAGATGTTGACGGCGGCCAGGAAAGCAAGGATTCCTCAGCCACAGACCCGGTTCTGGATGTTCTTGATCGCTATTTCCAAGCTCGCTGCACTCTGGATCAGGACGAAAGCTATGAAGCAGCAGCAGCTGCTGCGCAGGAGATGTGGCACATATACCTGTCTGGAAGAAAAGTCTCAGAGGATGGAGAGGAGGGAGCTGCCTTAGCAGAGGAGTGGAAACTCCTCTGCTTTCCTGATGGTTTAATGAAGTTTAAGTCTGTTTAAAAGACTGTGGTTAAAAAAAATTTTACTTTTATTCAAGGAAAAACATTTCTTGAGGACATTAAGTAAACATACATTCCTGTTATTCTGGGTTGATGTATTTCATAAACTGTTATTTATCAGCTAATGATTTCTGAACTCTTATCTGAGGTTCCTTTATCAGATACAGGAATCAGACTTTTCCCTGAATGATACTGATTGTTGTTTTCCTTTGGGGGCCGACATGCCCTTTACTTTTCTGTTTCC